AGAGGATTGAAAACTAGCGCGGCAACTGAGCACCTCGAGCCAGTTACCCCGAGGCCTAAAGTTTAATCTGTGTCGCTGTCATAGAATTTGTACTAGCTGAAACGTATTTGCTGTTGGTACCATATAGCCTTCGCCACTGTAAATTTGCGGCTGGAAAATCGTGCTTTCGATCTTTTGTATCCATGGGTGTAGGTACCTTTAGGCGCTATTCAATTCGAAAATTGTATAGCCCGGATCGTTATTTACCATTTTTGCCACGACAATCTAATCCCCTGAAGCCGCATCTTAGAGAGAGTACACGGAAAGCTAAATGAAACGTACACGAGCAAGTTGCGCGAATGAAAATTCATTTAGGGAATTTCTCCTTCGACATAGTTTTAATTAGTAAAGTTTGAATCAACATTTCTCTAGTTACTACAGGAAAATAAACATGTACGTTCCGCATCGGGTAAGTAAAAATCAAGAGATATGTAAAAAAAAATAATAATTTTTCGTCGGGATAAAAACGGACTTAAAAATGGCTCTAAAGTGGGCCATAACATCTACGCGCGGTCTGACAACATGTGAACAAGAGGTCAGCAGAGATGCACGTCATTATGAGCTGCGGACGAGCGCCATCGTGGCATAGCACGCCGTAGGGTGGAACAATTGAATCGCAGGGGCGCAATACGTTTCACGAGGAAATTAACGCCCGCGGCACATTGTGGGTCCGCGACTATTCCAGATATAGAATGGTACGGTGTTGTACTCTATGGACTCTGCCATATTGGCAATCAGTGAAGCCGACTGTGTTACACCGCGGTCAACTCGCCGTCCAACTTCGCTTCGCGGCACGGCGGTTTCCAAAGCCGTGACCCACGGACGTGAAGGAAGAAACGAAAAATTAACATTACGCCCGCGAGCTGCTGCAGCGTTTCATGGAGCTCACGGTCGGCGAGTCGAGAACAAAGACGTCGATTAAATCCGAAGGAAATGAAATTCGCTAGTATATAGAAGCTGCGCGTGCTACACCATCCCGTGTGCCATATCACTTGCACCGCAGTAAAATTCATGGAATTATATCGACGACGGAAGTCGATCCTGAATGTCGGTGTAAACCTGAATTTCATAACGATCTTACGCGTTGCAATCTTACGGTATAGAAAATTATTACTCGCAGGAAATGTAGTAATACCCTGGTTACGATATGTTAAGAGACTTTCTCTATTTGCGATACAATAAATGTAGAACATTTAGATTACGTATCGTGTATTATGATACGTAAATATTGTAACATTAAAATGTATGAGGATAGAATAAAACGCAGCAATTATCAGCGGGAAATGAGAAGGATATTAAATTTCGCTATTTGGTAATATATTTCTTACGAATATATTTAGAGTATAACTACGTTATACTCCAGGTCATGGAACACGAAGAAAAGCGAGGCTCGTAGCAATTGAAGAGCTGTTACTAAAGTACACGACTGGTTATCTAAATAAGATACTGTTATTGCAGCTCTTCGCTGCACCGCGCCGCAACGGCAAGCTCGCCAATACGAAATACTAGTATTGTTGTTGCCAGTATTGTGCTGTGTCCTTAATTTTCTCTCACGAAAAAGACATTTCATTTACGCGGGGTACGTTCTACTATATTTCCCTAATAACATTCAATTTAAA